CACAGTTGACGTATTATAGGAACATAATTTTATTAGGCATGAATATTTCGTCCTGTCCTCTTGATAGCAGTTTATTGATTATATACTTTGATACATTATTTAATTTCTCTTTAAATTTTTACTTTCTCAAATCAATATCTCGGATCAAGGAATACTATTAAGTGTGTATAAATGTATTATTATTGTTATTATCATCATCATCTTCATCAAACTGATTCTGAAGTCAAATTTAGAGATCTAGAAGATAGGGAGATCTTTAGTTTGATCGATGTAATATGTAGGATTTTGAGGACATTTAACATGTCTGCGTCAAAGTTTCCCACAATGATATAAAGGATTTTGTATTGACGACCAACAATCTTGACACTGCGGTAACATTGTTTAAAGAAGGCCATATTATTAAGTTATTAATTTTAAGAGGCAGTTGAAAATGTGCTCCAATCATGGACCTTCTCGTAAATGAAAGTCTGCACTTGATGGTTTGTGTAAAAAAGGCTTTTAAATGTTTACATACACAAGTAGTTAGGAAAAGCTCTGTAATTTACTGTATCAGAGATTTTGGTGAATATCTGTAACACAAGAGTGGCATCAGAAAAAGCACAGGAGGAACCTAATGTCCAGATCGGGATCACCACTTTACCTGACTATCTACTTAGGCCTATTGTTTCAACTAATGAATTAAAATATACCATTTATTTTTCAAAGAACCGTGTAAGGGTGCTTCATCAAAATCACTTTAATATAATAAAAATATTTTTTTATGAAAAATAACTTGCTGACAATAAAACAAAGCACTCCTGTAAATACACCTGCTCTCTGTGCTTTAGTAAGTTTAGTCCTTATTTAAAAAAAATAACAATTGATTTTTAATAAATGTTAATGTTAAATAACGTTATTATTCTGATAGTGTTTGTGTCTCCGATCTCCAAGCAGCGGGTCCTGCATTTCTGATCATTGCGTCAGGAGATCTAGTAGGAATGATGTTTTTGCTCTTCCTAACATTTGAGTAAATAATAATTACAATATCACATAGACCTATATATCTGATGCATCTTTTAGTGTTTTTACATAATTTTTACATAGATTTTAAGTGGTTTTTAAAAATTTCTTAAACAATTTTATATATATACAGTATATATTGCAATTCTTTTCAATTTCTTATTTGATGTAATTTTAATGATATAGTTTTGTATTTTTATTGTACGCCAGTGGACGGACTCTAAATTTCCAACATGCCTTGATGGACCGTGAAAGTTTCTCCTATCTTAAATTCATGAATAGGCTATAAACAACTTCATTATAAATTGTGTGTCACTATTAAACCAGAATCAACTTTTATTTTCACACACAAATTATAAAGTGTCTGTGCATTGTGATGCATAAATCGGTTAGCTTACAAATTTCAAAAAATCTCATATTGAAGATCTGCCCGGCATTACAAACTTGATAAAACAATATTTGTGAGTGAACCGGAAATTACATTGTTTGAATTTTGCTTAGTTCTAAGTTTTATGTGTTTTCTACTGGATGTAATGTACAGGCTCCTTGGCCCCTTTGACCTGGGGGCAGGGCTTTCCCCCAAATGCGTTAAGCCTCTACAGAGAAATTTATAATTTTGTGTCACGACTGGCTATTTTGGGTTCATAAAATCATTCCTATAAGAAGGAAACCTTGTGAATGATCATGCTCACTTATAACACTCACTCCCGTTTTATTGGCTTATAAATGTGAAAAGTATGTTAACTGTACATTTTTGTTGTTTCAAAATTCATATTAGAAGAGAAAGAGATGGCAAGAGAGAACGGATTGATGGAAAATAAACTGTATTGAATTCAATATTTACATTGTGCTTTTTTTGTTTTGTAACGCCTATGTTTCCCTTTATATCTTGATATTACAGTATTTATAAATGCACCGCAACGTTTACGAATGCCACTGCTATGAAAGTGTGCATTAAAGTACAATAATAAAATGATATATATTTATAAATAATTATTATTGTTTACAACCCAAAACTTCGTCCTGTTTCCAATCGCACTACTTGCGCTCTCTGTTTATCCTTTTATTTAATATAACGCCCTCTATCGATTACTATTATCTTTCTCAAATAATTTAATGGCGGTGATAACAAGTTCGCTGATGCTACTATGAACTAGCCAAACTGTTTAGTTGAGTACCATCCCATAACTTTTTAATTGCTTTTGAGAATTATTTGTCTCCGGTGTATTACTAGCATGGGTGACTGAAAAGAATGCAATTAACGATTTTATCAGTATAATAAACGCATTATATAGTGTGCATATTGTTCACCAGAATGGATTGGAGTGCTAAAGAAGTAGCAGAGATTGAGGAGAATTTAGCTGATCTCAGCCTGGAGAGAACGATTACCAGTAGCCTAAAGGTAGGATTTGAAAATGCTTTAGGCCTCGGCCACAGGCCTAGCCTTTGACCTAGGTCTAACACTTTGTAGGCCCTGTATACCTCCGTTGATGTCGTCCTTTGATTTGGTTTCTTCATATATAGCTAGGGTATGCCTATTTTTTAGTCTACTCCAGCTTCTTTTCTCTTCTTTTCTTGTGTCAAGTGTTGGAGTCTGGTTCTGGTTGGCCCCCCTGCCCCCCAACTCAGATTTCCTTACCTTCTTTAAAACTCGTGTCCGATGCCTCCTCTCATTACAAATGCTCATTACAAATGTGTCAACCTAGCCTATTAAGCTTAGGCCTAATATATATCCAATGTATTATGCAAGCGTAGGACAAGTTAACATTCTGCGCACCTATCCTAGCGATTTTCCGCACAAATTTGAGCTAGTTTTTGAGGTGTCATTTGCACATTTTAAAAAATATTATAATATTGTAGCCAGCCAAGGAAAGGAAAACACATTTTGGGGATGTAGGGCCTAACTATCCTAGGCCTAGTATTTTTCTGTTCTTAAATGAATTCTCAATTTATTCCTACTGTAGGCCTATAAACAAATATTTTCTCAACCAACCATCCATTCGTTTGAAAAATTGGACAGTTATCGTAATAAAAGTTACTGTAGTATTTTTGTGATTAAATAAACAAATTTGTGTGCTAGCATTTTAAACATTTTTTTCTTCTTTGTGGTTTTGCTTGTTTCTTTGTATTGTCTAGCTAGTACAACCAAGTTGTCAGTGAGTGCCTGACCTACTGTATCCTCCCTAACTATGCCTGACTTTTCTAGACCTATTTGACTTGTGTTGTGGCGGCAGTGCTTTCTGTATAGCTATATTTGATTTGGTTTGTTTACTATTTTCAGAGTGCAGAAGAAATTGAACGGCTTACTGTTGATGAAAATTTAAGTGATATCCAGCGTGCAGTGTTTCTATTAAGGTGAGAATGATTAACAAATGTATCCCAATCACTTTTATTAAATCGGCCCAAGACGGTTAGTATTTAAGTCGGCTCAGGGTCGCACTGCGAGCGTTCACACTTCCTCCTTTGCGGGAAATGTTAAGATGTGAAAGCGCTGTCCAGACAATCAAATTATTTTTTACAAAAACACGTGGCATGCCTAAATATGGTGATGATGACCTCCCATCATGACCATATATAGGCACATCTTGACTCTATATGGGAATCCATAAAAATTTAATAGTTTCGATATGGCTTTAGATCTCCCTATCATATTACATTACTACATGTCATACTACAAACCTAATTCTATGTTTTCCCTCACAGTAAATAATTATATTCTAAGCCTATTTATTTGCTGTGTCAGTGTAACTCAATTTTCCCTGTCAAGTAGCTAGGAAATTTTGTACTGTAGATGCAGTGTAGTGGCATTGATTTATTTTTATTCCATATTCAGAATTTTTAAAATTTTTTATTGAGAGTATATAAAAAAGTAAAGTATATTCCAAAATAAATTTATTCATAAAGAACGGTTTTGGTATACTACATTATGATCGAAAGATTCAGTAACAATGAGACAGACACAGTGACCATAAATGGCCTGATTTGCAAAAAAAAAATCTGATCTCATGTTTTCCTGATACCATAAAATCTATTAATATTCAAATGTAATCAGAAGAGAATTACTGTAACAGTATGTACAGTAGAAGTGCTTCAATGTTCTATGGTAGTAACTAATTAGTCTTATTGACATTATCATCAGAAGAATATCCTTGTAGTGAGGGACATCAGATTTCTGAAGGGAACAAAGTAATATGTAAGTAATCATGTACGAATGCCTTCAACATCTGAGAACAAGGCAATTTGAGAAAGTCAATGTAGGAATGCCTTCAAAATCGAAGGAGACCATTGCTATCAACACTACCGTAGTAGTATTACAGTAGTACTGTTTATTGGAAGATGGAGGTATGAGGAGTCGCGTCAGCTATCAGTGCATTTTGTGTTTGAACCTACCAGGTACCCACTTGTACTCATGGGTGAGGGAAACAACCATAGGTAAAGTGCCTTTACAATAAAATACACAGCAATGGAGTGAACCTCTGACCTCAGGGTTGAGAAACAGAACCAAATCAAAAATTTAATTATAATCCCACATATAATGCCCACCCCGGTCTTCTCCATCTTTAACTGTCATCGAGTATTGTTAAACCCTGCAAACCCCGCAAACCTCCAAAAAAAACACCGCAAACCCCATCCAAACACCGCAAACCCCATCCAAACTTTGTGATAGTGATTGAATCACGTAGTCTGTCATCTTCATATGCAATATATTTTGAAGCTTATGTGGCCTACTGGTAACTACAAAAAAAAGTGACACAATAGATTATAAGGGCACTATTGTTGAATAGATGCGTTGATAGCATTTGGTCATCCTATTGTCTAGATTGCCTAAAAAATCAATTGGTGGTCGTGATCTGTAAAGTGCACTCAATAAGTTTGACCATTGAGAAATCACCTCAAGGCCTAGTTGTTGTTGACACTAGCATTGACCTGCTGCCTAGAGTATAGTATGTATAACTGTTGAATAACTACTTGTGTTTATTACAGATTAGCAATAAGTGTGTAGTTTTCATAATTAATTATCTTTATAATCAAAGACTTGGATGCTTCAATTTAGTAATACTGTACTGTAGGCTAATATTTAACCAGTGGTCAAGTTTTGCTGCTCATTATCACAAATATCAATCAACATAATATCTGTTTCCTAATAATAAAAAAAAACCTGTGCGTTAACAAGCATTGTAAAACATAAAAACAGTTACATATTCTACAAGTTATTTTGTATTTTTATTTGTAACAAGGTACTGTAGAAAACATTCTGCCTAGGCTCTGGGGAAGCTATAGTTATTTTATTATTATTATTATTATTGTTGTTGTTATTGTAATTTTTTTTATTATTATCATTCTTATTATTATTATTATTATGATTATTATCATTCTTATTATTGTTGTTGTGTTTTTTTTTTTTTTTTTTTCATGGGAGATGTTCTTAAAGTCTGACAATTATTTGTAATATTTTAAGTCCTGTCCACACTATCAAATTTTATTTGACAAAAACATGTGACATGCCTAAATATGGTCATGATGAAGTCACGTCATGACCATTACAGTATATACAGTAGGCACATCATGACTGAATATGGGCATACAGTTCAACAGTTTATTGTTAAAAAAAATTTGATAATCTGGACAGAGCTTCACAGAAACGTTCAATATTAGTTCTAAGCTACGTTCACATCAAGCTCGCATTCAGTCCGGAGCCCGGTCAAAAAATCGTGAGTTGCTACGTTTTTTTAACGCTGCGTTCACATCGCGCACGGAACACGGTTATTCGGGTTAAGTGCGTATGCGTTCTATTGGTTCGAACCAACCAAGCTTGTTGCTGATTGGTCCGAGGGGGAAAAAAAACGTAGGATTCCACGATACAAATGGCTCTCAGATCCATCGGTCCGGATCCGGACTCCGGGTTGGAAATCGTACGAATTTGATGTGCATGGTCCTATTCTTTACCACAACCTATTTTTCAGGCTTTGATGTGAACGTAGCTTTACACGATGAGAGGCTGTGGCTTTTCACTTTGAAACATATAATTAGAGTGTAGGCCTACAGTACATTATTAAAGCTATTTCAGAACTTGCTATTAGCTTAAACATATTTCTGTGTGGTCACAGCAATTTTAAACTATCATTGTGTAATTATAATAATTAATTTCTCTACTGTAGTGCTTTTCCAAAATGAATTGATCAAAGCACTTAAGTACAAGGTCAATAAACTAAATTAGTTACAGTAATGACGCAAAATGTAATCCATAAGAAATATGAAGAATTTGTATGTGTATTGTGAAACATAGGTAGTGGACAAAAGGTCCACTCTGATTAATCTTAGATAAGAAAGTATACAGTAATATATACTGTATTCCAAGTATTGAAATGCATGCCATCATGTTGGGATTTAATATTTCAAATTTAATGATGTTAACATCAAGAATCTGTCCGTACAGTGATATGACATTAATGTCGAAATATTGAATACCAACATGATGGCGTGCATTTCAGTACTTGGAATACAGTATGTATTATCATTCTAGCATGGATGTCACCAAGCTTTTTGGAGTGCCGATCATCCCGTGTTTTCTCGTGGGGGGGGGGGGTCGCCGTATTCGTGGAAGCTCTTCAAAACCAAAAGGCCTAAGTCAAGCAGGCCTAGGCCAGAATTTGAGGAATGTAACAAAACAGATGAAACTTACTGTAGGCCTAATTAAATTCAATAGTTGACATGCTTTGTTTTAGATTAAAAAATAATAATGAACAAATCCCGGCGACAAAGCCTCGATCCGACTGTACCCAGCCGCATTGTTTGTTGTAATTTCACATGTTTGACGATTACCACGTCTACCACGATGAATAAAGTAAAGAAATAATAAATCAGGTTTGGTAAATTTTTAATAATCTTCCTGCGCCGGATCATGCTCTCATAATAAAACACTTGAATGGTGACGATTTCAACTTTAACCTTTGAATGTTTACAGCAACCGTGTCATGCCAGCCCCACGACGTTCGCTATGACTCAACTGGACCTAGGCTGTTCAGTTAGCGATGAATAGCAGTGCAGTGCAGTATTTTGTTACAATTAACGTAAACCACGGAAACATTTATTGTATTCTTCTTGTCTTTATCTATCAATTTAGCTTGTCTATTGTGTTTAGGTAAACTAATTATTTTGTTATTTGTAAACTGTTGAAATAATAGTGGTGGTCGGGAGCCTGTAAATCCTGGTCGGAAATGTCGAGTGCTGGACGGGCCCGTCCACCGCCGACCAGCGTGGTGACATCCTTGTTCTAGACTTGTATTTGAGTAAAAAAAATACTGTAATCAACAAGTTAGATCGAAGTACTTCTTACCAAGCAAATAATTTTTGAATTTTTAGTTCAGAGGTACGTAAATACAAGCCCTTGAAAATATAAATCTGATATACATATAGTATTTATGATTTATGAATTACTGTATGGTGCGCCTTGAGCACTATTGCAGTGGATTTGTGCACTTTATAAATTATATTATTATTTATTTTATTATTTTTTTAACTAGTAGAACTGATACTAAAGAGTATAGAAAAAGAAGAGAGTGTAGTCCCGTTTGTAAATACGTCACTTTCCTAGTTACGATATACTGTAGAAGTCGCCATTGTCTCCATGGAAATGCGCCCACTGTGCTCTGATTGTCAGGTGGGAGTGTGTCCCGCTTGAGTCCAGTATTCATTTCTAAAAATAGTAACAAATCTAGTATAACTGTTGCTGTCTACAAAAGAATTGTATTTTGTGGACAGTGGCATATCTAGAAGTGGGGTTGCTGATGAAGAGTGCGAAGGTGAAGTGGGGAGGGGGGCTCGATGATCAGTTGAGGGGTGCTAATTCGCAAAAAAAGGTAATTTTAGGTGATTTTTAACTGTTTTACTATGATTTTTGGGGGAAACTTGAGGTAGGGGAAACTTGGGGTGGGGGCCACCCCCTAGATAATGTGCGCCAACTTGTGGAAAACAGATAAATAAACAATCCATGCTGTAGGCACTACTACTATCAGTACTTTTATTTCTTTCCTATACCCTGTGGTAGTAGTACCAACAGGATGCATTGTACAGTAGCTACCTGTCAACAAACGCATAAAAACTGATTAAGAAGAAATAAGTAGATCCAATAAGTATAGTAATTGTACTATTTATTATCTCAGGTCATTCTTAATACTGTTCAACCAAGTTTGACTGGGATCTGCCATTGTTGACTGAAGACTTAACTCTGCATTGTGCATTGAATACTATTGAGAAATAAAAAAGAAAAATCATTTGTGTCAGTTAAATCATTGATATTCCATTAATACCATACATTATCAAACCATTTTAAATTTCTTTCTTAAAGTCCTTTACAAGCTTATGAAAACTTTTGACAGTGGACTAGACTATAAGATTTAAATTTTGGCGAAGTTTTTACTTCGATGATTCTATTAGAATATTACTGTAGCTGTTGAGTGAGCTATTAAGTGAACAGTAGTTTGAATTTAATTCCTTCAAGTCCTTATCTGTAATTCTTGGAGTGGTTTTTGAAGCACCTAGGAAGATAGGTTACTTACTGTCCATGGTTACAGATTGGACTAAAATAGCCATACTGTAGATAAAACTGGCTCCAAACCCTTTATCAAAGAATTGCTTACATCCAGGCACCTGTTGGCAGACCATCGCCTGATTGCTTGAGGGTTTTGGAGGAGGTCAGTAATGATACCAAGATTTACAGTTGCCTGATTAGAGGGAGGCATAAGGGGCACACGCTCTCTTTATTTTTTTGTAAAAAAAAAATGATTTTTTTTTTCAAGCTTATCAGAAAATTACTATGCTTACACCCTAAGCTGTCCAAAAGGGCATCTGACAAGTTCTTGGCAAAAGTCATTCCTGAAACCATTACACTTACAGTAACTTGTGATTTAGATGGCTGGCCCGGGATCAGCTCAGCTTAGCAAATGTCTTAAGTCCAAGATGTAAAGATGTCCCTAAGCAAATATTTTAAGCTGATTTATCAAACCATCTTAGCAAAATCTTAGCTTTAAAATCATTTTAGGTGGCACATGCATACAATCAACTTTTTAATTTTAAGCAATATATAAGCTGATTTCTAGTTTGATAAATCCGGACCCTGGTGTTCATGTGAGGGAGTGTTTACTGTATCTAAGAGTTTTATAAACTAACATTAAATCAATCAATCTTTCTATTTATATGGCGGCATTCCAACAGTTGTTGCTCGCGGTGCTTAATATTAAAATACAGTATTAAGAATCAGTAATTATTGAAACATTACAGATCTGAATTTTTATCGATTTGCATCCAACCGGAAATAACTTGCAACAACAATCACAGTTGGACTATTATGTACAGATAACATTTTTTGGGACTGGAAAGATATTTTATGAATATAATTTTGGTTGGCAAAACAATATGTTCTCAAGGCCTCTCTAACTTAGTAACAATGCAAATAGTGTGTAAATAATCTACAATTTGTGTTACGTTCTGTATTGATGACTCTTGCTACTCTACACCACATTTTAGTTATAATTTTTCAGATGATATTAAAATGTTAAAGTAGTTGACATTTGGGAGTGCACGTTGTGTAAACAATTCTAAATTATCTACATTCACTAAAATAGTGTGTTTAGTCTTCCTCGTTCATGTCTATCAATACATTTATTTTATTATTAGCCGATGAACCTTTGACCACGTAAGTTGTGTGTATAGATGATATGCGTTGTGTTTAGTTGTCATCTATTGTAGGTGAGTTGGCAGTTGCCATAGCTTTTATTATCCCTAGTATTGTGGTCTATACTTTGTATGCTAAAAAATATTTTAAAATATTAAATTATAAATCCAGGTTTATATTTAATTTATATTGTAGTTAATGGTATTTCTAGAAATATATAATTTTGGTTAAATATTATTTATCTCTGGAAGTTTATTGAGTAATACAAGACATACAGTACTGTAGATTCAAGATTCAAGAAACTTTATTGTCTGTTATGCATGAAAATATACAGAAAATTAGTTACACGGAAAGATTAAAAATTTGAAAAATTATATAAACACATTTCAAAAATATAATCTTAAGAATAAACATCGAACTGAGAATAAAAACGTGATACTTTGAAAAAGAGAAGTATTTTAAAGATTTGTTAAAATTGTTAAAACTCCATTAAAACTGTTAAAAATTACCGAATTAAAAATTATACATACTAACTATTTACCCAGAGAAAGCCTATACTTTTAATATGTTATAGTATTTTAAGATATTAAATTTTAAGTCCAGGTTTATTTTTAAGTTAATTAATTGAATACTTTTATATTCAATTATTTTTTAGTTAATTTTCTAGAAGGATGCTTTTGGTTGAATATCATTAGAAAGGCATACATGCACTACATTAGTCTTCAAATAGGCCTACACCCATCTTTCTCAGGGGCTGATCCAGAGATGTCCAAGACGATCGAGACAACACTGTTCTAGACACCCGAAAATAACATTTGAGATGTTCTGGGCTATCATTTTTTTCTTTTTCTTTCTTTTTTTTTTCTTTTTTTCTTTTTTCCCCCAAATCCGCCCCAGAATTGCCTATTCTATGTTAGAAGAGAACATCCCTCAAAATCAACTGTGTAGTAAGTTTAATATAGGGACCATTTTTACCAAGCCTATGTTTACACTGTCAATTTTGTCCAAAGTAAATTTGTATGGCTTATTGTAAAATTTGTAAAATTTTGAATACCAAATATTTACCGATATTGGGAATTTTAATAAAAAATTAACAATGACTTCAACAATTTAAGAATTCTAAATATCCAAATGGAAAATAATATTTTTACAGTGAATGACCTACAGTATCACATAAAACATGTACCTTAAAGGTGATTTATTTAAGTACTATATCTGCAAGCTGGCTTTGTGTTTAATTTATTACACTTTCATTTTGTCCATACCCCACATATTACATCATCCAAGAATCATGTGTAATACAACGTTCATAAGTGAGTAAAGATGAGTGATGGCAATGTGAAAATATTTTTTATGTACAAAACCTTCTCATTTTAACAAAGAAAAGAGGTTTACAAGCTAATGTTATTATTTAGCAGGTGCTAAATATTATAATGATTTTACAGGGTTTAAGCTGCCCAAAAATAATATTTTGTAATTTGGCTAATTTAGTATGAAAATAATTAGCCAAAACAAAATTTAATTAGCCAAAACAAAAAATACAAGCAATAAAAACTTAATTCCATTAGCTTTTTGGCTAATTTTGAAATAAGAAATCAACGATATTTGATCAGTTTTAGTGATTCATTGTTGAGGCATCGGTATTCACATTTTGATCGTGTTTTCGGAAAGAGGTTCTGACAATATTGCGGTAATAGTACTGTACGATACACTTATCGACATAGACCATACATACCAACTGAATATTTCGGTAATGTAGGTCTTCCTGTATGAATGGATCACGCACGTTAAGAGAGCTATCTGTTAATTGTTTTACAGTAGTCATCACAGATTGAGGGCATGTTTATTTTTTACTGTTTCTAGAAAATTACTGATGATATGTAAAGAGTAATTATAGTATTATGGGAATGTGACCTGCTTTTGTTTCAGAGACACCGTAACAGGAATATTGTGGTAATATCACTACTGTAGGTCTGAGAATATGAAATGCTACATTTCCCCAATACTGCAGCTGCGGTTAAGTCTGACCTAAGGCATTGTTAAGAATACTCTTGCAATATAGCGTTAATGTAGTCCAGTCTGAAAGTGGCTTGCGTTTCTTCAGTTTTTCCTCCAGTTTTAAACATTGAAAAATCTAATTAACTGTTCCTAAATTATTTGTCAAAAACATTTTCATTGTCTTCGAAAATTCATTTTACTGATATATATTTTCTCTCTATGGAGAGAAAAAAATCTGCTTATTGGCCCATCTCAAGCATGAGGTAATCAGAGCAAAGTGTTGTCAAATGATTACTGCCGATGTGTCTAGCAATGTGAAAATAAATAAACAAGGGATTCGTCACATTTCAAAGAACTTGTCATCGTTGATTATATTTTTACACAACATGAAGTTATGTGGTACAGTATCTACGTCACACAACTTAAATTCTGGTGTAAGATTTATTGCTCCATTGCGTAATATTGTAATATTCTGCCAGAATAGAAAAGCGCTAACTTGCACAAAAGTTGGCAGCTCTGGTGCATGATTATAGTGATTGTTTGATGAGGAGGTCAAATAACATAGGCATGTAAAAAGGAAGACTTATTTACTGTAAATGCGAGCGAACTAAAAATAAACCCCTGTCCAGACTACAGGGGTCCCAAGAAGAAGAAGTCATTTCCGGGAGTGGGGGCCCCCCATTGGCCTTACCGGGGAGAGCTGCCCTCCCCCTTTGTCCCGTCGGGGAGAAAAAGCCACAATTTGTTGGGCAGAAATAAATGATGTACTATAATATTTTCTATATTTTAATAGAAAATTGTCAAACTTTGACCACTTAGGATATATTTTGAGCAACTCCCGACTACTCCCACTTTTCCCTGTTGTTGTGGAAAAACGAAAGTGCGTCTCTTGGCAGCTGATCGGACATGATGTGGCCCTTGTGGGCGATGAAAGTTGTAGAATGAGTTCGTCCATGTCTGTGCGCATTCTAGCCTAGTTAAAGCTGCAAGTCACAGGTTATTTCCTACCTTTAATACTGAAATTTTGTATCGAGACTGAGCTTTACTGAAGGTTTTGATTTAGTTGTCACCGCTACAGTATAGCTATCTTATGAGCTGAGTGGTTACATTTCCATGTTTGAGCTTGCAATGATTGATTGATTGACTAACTACAGGTATTATTAAAACAATTTTACAACAGTGACACAAAAGTATACATATTATAATATAGCCAGTGAGTTGGTATAATACAGGTTAAACACATAACCAATATGGTACTGTACAACATTAGGTATTAAAACATTATTTTTCTTAAGTCTTGCCATTACAGTAGTAAATAACAAACTTTTTGAGATGAATTTGGCGTGGTTTTATCCAGGTCACATTTTCACTGTCATTACATTTAATATTTCTCAAGTTGCTATTAAAGCACTGCAGTACATTTATAATGCATCATAAAAAATAACTACAGTATAATCTCAGCTGCAATGGAAAAGCAGGTGAGAACAGGAATCATACCCAGGTTAATGTACTCAAAGTGCTGTCTAGATGAACCAAGATGTTTGACTTAGATGTTTGATTTGTTTTTTTAGTTCTGGTCAAGAAGTTCAGAGGATCAGTGTTATTAAGAATCTTGCTGTACTCATTACAGACAACCATGACGACGCTATGCGTAGAGTTGTACCTAAAGTTAGGGTGAGTTTATCTTTCTCTGCTTGCTTCTCGTGTTTATTTTATGTATACTTTGTATAGTATCTTTTTCGCCATAATAATACATTATTAATGATTAATATTTTACTTTAAAAACTATATTAGGATCATAACATAAAAAAATGTGTTCCAATGTTATTTCCCAGAAGTAATCAAGACTTTATATGCTTACAGGTTATGTGCTTGCCAAATAAAATAAGTTATACAATAACAATACTGCAAAGAATCACAAGTTTTACAACTAGTTTGCTCCAGTACTGGAATCTGTTAAAATGTACACCAAATATTCTGTCCCCTATAATACTTTATACACTGTATAGACTTTTATCTAATGAACTTGATGGGTTTGTTGTAATAATAATGTTGATGATTATATTTATGTTATTAATAACATGTCCATGAAAAGACCTACTGTATGATAAGCAAAGTAAAGATAAATTGTCTTGACTGTACTCCTGCCTAAAATGTTAGCATATTAATATTTTACACAGGTTGTAAGACCTTTTTTTTTTACTGTACCTTGTTACTTAAACCCACTGCCCACATTATTATTACTGAAATTAACATTTGGTTATGGCCTTCAAATGCACCTGTCATGAAAAAATGGAAATAAAATAACTAAAATTTTATTTATTTTTTATCACACCTCCCATTATTTCTTCCTGAGAATTAAAAAAAGACCTTTCAATGTTATTTAATGCAATTACCTGTAGGGAATTGTACTGTAGGTCTACATGGCATTCTTTTTGCTATATTAGAAAACAGAAAAACAAGTATGTGATTTTATTATTCATGTGTAATTACTGTAGCTTCTACACGATTTTGTATTTTTCAATAATTAATTGTTCTTAATTGGTTGTATCACTTTAATGGAAAATAACAAAGGCACAACATGTGTGAATAGCAACCCAAAACAATAGATATTAAGCTGTGACTACTGTAGTTACAAAGGGAGTTAGAAGTGATGCTATTTGGAAGTTGGTTCCAAAAAAAAAGGCAGAAGTATAGTGAAAGAACATTGAGCATAGGACATTATCATGCCCATACAGTATATGGACACAATTACAATTTGCCATTAAGTTTTATAGTGAAAGAACATTGAGCGTAGTACATCAAAATCTGCCACATACAGTTTGATAGTGTGTAAAAAGCTTTAGAATTTGATACAAAAACTACATGCACTGTTGTATGTCCTTTATTTGATATGTTGCAGGAAGTACTCCACTTGGCCAGCATTGAACTACAACAGGCTGCAGCCGTAGCATTCATCAAGATCGCTGAAGAACAAATCGTTTCACATACCACATACTCTCAGACGTTCCTGCAAACAATTCTAACCAATATAGATAACAGGGATCCAGGTAGGCTTGTTAATGTTGCATACCTCAATTTCAGATAGGATGGCAAATCTAGAGAATGGGGGAGTAAACATCCCATTCCATACTACTGTAGATGTATCCTTGAAAAAAGAAACGGCATAAGTATCTATATGAACACATTTGAATACACACCAAAAAACACCTTAAACATTCATTCATATAAATATAACATTTTGTATTCAAACATATCTATCAGGTCAGTGTAACTAAAGTTTAAACTTTGATCATAGCACATCCAACACAGATGAGCTATTTTTTCAAATATCAGTTCACTATTTGTTTTGTTAACTGAATTTAGACATTCCTAAGAATGAAAAAAATGTAAAATAAGACTGAAATTTGATTTTTTTTT